CTGACAAACTATGGAACTACTGTATATATCTGTGTGACCTCAAGGAGACTAACAAGTGACAAAAACTGTAACAGAATCAGCAGAAAAAAAGATATAAAACTTCTAAATTTATTGGAGTCACCTCATGGTTCAGTTCTCAGTTCTGTGCAGGATGGATCGGCCTTTTACATGCCTGTGTTCAAGGGCCTGTTATTTCATTATCATGAGTGCATTTATTCTGATGTGAAGTCATGTTAAAAAAACAGAGGTGATATGATTGTTGAAGACTTATACATCATTTTTACTTATTTATTTATTTAACAGAAAAACGTTCATTTCAGCTTCAATATCCAAAAGCCAAGATTCTTTATTGTCATTACATATGCAATACTGCAACATGTGGGACAAATACTGCAACATGTGGGGCAAATGAGATTTAGATAGCATAAATATACTGACATATTATAAATACAAATAGAATGCTTATACACAATTTATTGACATGTTTTAAAAAGTAAAAAGTCTGAGTATACACACACACTCACCTGTATATTGACCTGTATATTGAAAATAATCAAATAACATAAAAACATAGTACAAAGGAAACATAATATGAGAAAAACTAAGTAAGAAATAAAACAAGTAAATGTCACGGTGTCGCAGGCAGGATGTGGACCCAAATGCAGGACTCAAACTCAAAAAGTTAACTCAAAGAGGCAGCTTTATTTCTGTAGCAATAAAGAGCGCGAACTAAAACTCTGGAAACTAGAGACATGGCACCAAATTGGGGAAAACTAGAACCAGGACTAGGACTCTTCAAGGAACACAGAGGAAACACACAGCATATCAAATTACACAGAATGAGACAGAGGACGCAAGGCGAAACATAACACATGAGACGAGGTACCTTCAAAGTAAGAGAAGAAAAACAAACATGGTGCACACAGACAGGAGCCTACCAAAATAAAACAGGAAGCAACAGGAACAGGTACAGAGACACAGACAGACACACAGACACGACTGGGGAAACATGGATAAACATGACAGTCAGCACGAAGAGGGAAGCAAGACACAAGAACTCACAAATATAAACACAGACATACAGAAAGAGACACAGAGGGCAAACACGAGAGGGAATCGAATAATCAAAAGCTAAACGATGGCACTATAGAATAAACTCAAGACAAACAAAGTGGATTTAAAGTGGACATAAATCATAATACAAAATGACAAGTATTTTGTAGTTGCTGTTTGTTGGTGTCTAAAAGCCGCCTGGAAATAATTTCAGCCATATTGCATGTCATATGGGTTCTGTTAAAACTGTGGAGCGAATAGTGGCCCAGTTTTATTGGCCTGGCATTGGGTGGGATGTGCACCGTCCTAACAAGAAATCCGACCTAAAAAA